ACCACACTGCCCTCGGAGGAGCTGGCCTATGACTCGGTGCCTGCCGGCGAAGAGGACGAGGAGGACGAAGAGGACCTGGGGTGGGGCTGCCCGGACGTGGCGGGCACCGCGCGGCCCACGCCGCCCCCGGACCTGCACAATTACATGCGCAGAATCAAAGAGATCGCTTAGAGGAGCCGTCCGGGTGGCCGGCGCCCCCCACCCCGGGGCCTGCTCTGGGAGGGACACAGCCGGGACCCCGGCCCACACTGACTCGGGCGGCTGGATTGGTTTTCTACCCCCGCCCCTGCAGCTTTGCTCCGTGCCGGGCGGCGCCTCCCTGTCTGGTCTGGTCCTCCCGGGCCTCACACCGTTGCCCTCTTCTGCCCCCTGCAGGTGGAGGCCTCTTCCTCCAGCAGCCTGCAAGGGAGGACGCGATCCCAGCCCTGGCTCCAACCTCCTCCGACCTCCTCCCCTTGCCCCAAGACTGAGGCGAGGAGGCCAAGCTCGGGGCGAGGAGGCCAAGCTCGGGGCAAGGAGGGCTCACACTGTGCCCGCCCCCGCCTCCTTGTCCCCTGCCGCCCCGCAGCAGGAGGTTCTGGGGGGGCCTTGTGTTACAGGCTGCACAAAGACTTTTCGCAAACCAATATTCAGGGATTTCTGTCCTGCAGGGTGGGGAGGCGGCAGCTGCCTGCCCTGCCAAGGATCTTGCTGTGGACAAAGTATTTGGGGAGTAGGGGAACAGTTGTAGCATCTGCCGGCATCCGGGTGCCTCCCCGGACCAAGCAATGAATTGACAGAGAGGTCCGGTGCCAAGCCAGGCGCCTTCCGGGTTCTCAGGATTCCCAACTCTGCCCCAGGGGCTTTGGGCAGGGACCCAGGCGGGGAAGAGTCCTGGGCCCATCTCTAGCCAAACCATATCTCTAAGTGGGAGGCCTGGGTGCCTCTCCCTCTTCCACAGCAAGGTCAACACTACTACGCCTTAGCCCCCTCGCTCTGCTGACCACTCCTTTCCTCTCTGCAGCGCAGGGCAGGCAGCCACCCCACCCCCCACAAGACAGATCTAGGAGGGGGAGACAGGGCACCAGGGAATGCTGGGAGGGACTTCACAGGAGCAAATGCAGAAGGGAGCCAGCATCTTCCCCACCCCATCCCACAGCGACTTTTCTCTGGGGTACTACCCACCACTGTGTTGGATTTTTCTTAAATAAATGGAGGCGATCAGACTGGAGGTGGGGGCAGCGGCTCCCATGAACAGACAGTGCATGGTGGCTGGCTCTGTCTCTTCCTTGTGTGCACCAGCACACACACACGCACACACACAAACACACACACACACACACACAACAGATTTGCACTGGTGCACACTATATGCATGAGACCAAAATCAGCTAGACCAGGCTGTGATCTTGCTCTTTCATCTCCAACATTCAAGTACCTTAAGACCCTCTGGTGCTGTGGGATGTCCATGGCAAGGGATGAATTCTCTGATCCACAAATGTGCCCTTTGGAAGAAGTACCTTCTCTAAGACTCTGCCCTGATGGGTTGGTTGCCTCAGAAGAGGAAGGCTCGCTTCAGGACCTGCAGAGAAATGGTGCACAAGTGGGGAGGGGACAGAAAAATAAGGAGAAAGGTTGGACATGGTAGCTTAAGCCTGTAATCCCAGTACTTTGGGAGGCCAAGGCTTGAGCCCAGGAATTTGAGACCAGCTTGGGCAACATAGTGAGACCTCATCGCTACAGAAAAATAAAAAATTAACCAGGTGTGGTGGCACATGCCTATAGTCTCAGCTACGTGGGAGGCTGAGGTGGAAGGATCACCTGAGCCTAGGAGATTGAGGCTTCAGTGAGCCATGATCACGTCACTGCACTCCTGCCTGGGTGACAGAGTGAGACCTTGACTCAAAAAAAAAAAAAGAAAGAAAGAAAAATGAAAAAGATAGGTGAGAAGATTGATGTGCCCACCAAATTACTCCAGTTTGCTTCACTGCCTTCAACCCACCTCTGAAAGGAGGTCCCTCCCTGTCACATCTCTCAGGGACACCTCCCTTCTCTTCCCCTTGGGGTTGATGGGGAAAGCCCAGGGTCTCCATGTTAGGGAGCCAGGCAGGAGAGAGCACAGACATATTGGGATGCCCCTCCAACTCAAGTGAGTCCAGCCCACAATACCTCATGGCACGTGAGGCCTGAGAGTGCACACATGGCCCTGGGAGACCACACCCCAGCACAGGCAGCAACCCAGGGTGCATGGGAGCTCCAGGCCTGTGATGGGGAGATAGGAGTCTGGTCAAGGCTGCCCAGCCAGCCTCTAGTGCCCATGGACAGGTGGCCACAGCAGCCACCTTGGAGAGGGACGGAACAGCACCCAGCATCTGTCCCAGAAGTGACTAGTGACAGAATGGGGCCTGCGTTGGTGCCTGCCCAAACATGCTGCTACCTACCAACGAAAGGAAGCCCTGCGTCCCACAATCATCTGCTCAACCTGTGGCACAGCCCTGGAGTTGTCGTGAGGGTTAAATGAGATCATTTGTGGACAGGGCTCTTTACAGCTCTCAGCGGCAGCAGCAGAGCTAGCACAGATGGCAGCACGTAGAGGGTCTCAGTGAATGGACTTTGCCACCACCGGGTCTTAATTATCAGGTAAGGCAGAGAGGTCTGAAGGGAAGATTAGAGACTGACCAGCTCTGCCCAAAGAGTGGGCATTGCTCAATGGCAGGGGACTCTCCTTGAGTTCCAGAATACCAGATACCTGGTATTAGAACACATACTGACTATGGGCTCCTAGAGGGGCATGCGGGTCTCAGACATTTTCCTTAACCCCCTTGTGCTTAGCATGGTACCTGAAATCAGCAAGTGCCTGATAAATGTTTGCCTACCAAATTCAAGTCCAAATGCAAACTGCAAATGGCTTCTGCATTCTCCCGTGTTGGAGATTTTGTATATTTCTACCACCTAACCTCTGTATCTGTGTAGGACATCATGTCATCCAAACCATCTCCGTGGGGTTTTTATCAGAGAGAGCTGAGGAGGGTGTAGATCAGAATCCAGGAAGAATAACCCAGCTGGGGGCAAGTTCATGGAGGGGTGGGTTGCTGATGGGACACTCGGAATGTGGAGTCATTTGTTTCTTCCACATGGTAAGCTCCCAGTGTGACCCTGAGCCCTGCCAGGGTGTCTGGGGGACAGCATCTCGAGCCTGACTTCAGGGAGCCCCAGCCCCACAGGGAAGATGGGCATGTCAGCTGCCTACCGTCCTCCAGGATGGTGGCAAAGCTTTGTTCGAGCTTGGTGGGGCACAAAGGAAGAGGGCCTCAAAGCTGAGACTGCTGAGGACAAGGCCAAGGGAATTCCAGGAAAGGCACACAATGGGTATGAGGGCACAGAGGCTGAATACCCCACATCCTGCACTTTCTTTGGCTGCCATGACTTTGTACCTGCTCTCCCTGTGCCTGAATATGTGTTGCTGGTGAGAGGGGAAACATACAAAATAAATATCTGCGAAGGTGTGGAGGCCAGGACAGAGGTCAGAGCGGGCAGGTAGGCCTAGCATGGACTTGGGAATCAGGCTGTTCACTTGTTTTCCTCTTGCTGGGTGAAGGAAGGAAGGCTTGCCCATCCAGGGGACCAGGTAGGAAGGTGCTGCAGCAGAAAGGGCAATGCCCCAAGCCAGGATGGCGGGAACAGAGCACTGGGTACAAGCATGTACCCAACTGGATGTAGGACTTGCCAACTGCATGCCCGACACAGGGACAATGGGAGGAGGCAGGAACTGTTGTGGCCACTGAGATGGCTTTCTCAAGTGAACTTTGAAGACCAGTCCGCCCCAAGGAGGAATGTGGAGATGGCTGTAATGGTGTTTCTGCCGGCATCCAGGGTTTCACAAGCAGGAAGCCAGAACCTAGATAGGAAGTGTGGTTGGCCAGATGGGCACACAGCAAACCTCAGAACAAAGCCAGAGCTATGCCTGCTGCCCTGTCCTATAATTTGTGTCCCCTTCTCCTCATCCCTCATCCCCTGTCCAAACGCGAGAACTCAGAAGCAATTGCTAGAAACGTCAACTCCTGACCCTCGTGGAGTTCAAGCGGGAGCAGGCTTGGCGGGAATGAGGTGGGACATTAAGTTAACAGCCCCTCTGGAATGGCCCTGGCCCTACACTCCTCTTTAAAAATTTGTCTTCAACCCCGAAAATGAATCGAGGGACCTTGTAAAGAGTAGTTATTGACAGAGAGCTGCTCAGGGAGCACTGGGGAGCCGGGCCCATGAATCAGCTCGCTAGCAAAATGAGATTTCTCAGACAGCCAGGGCCTGAGAAGGCAGGGCAGGAGACTCGGAGAAACTGCCTGGAGCACTCCCCACCCCAGGGATCTGCTGCCAGCCCTCTCTGCCTGCCCTCCTCTCCACACCAGCCCTGGGTGCTCCTCAGTGCCTGTCTTCAACAAATATTGACCAAGCATGTACTGTGTACAGCACTTAGGTCACTGACTGTGCTCCCCTTAAGAGAAGGCTTTGGGAGTAGGGGGTGGGGCGTGGGGGTGGGGGGAGGGTTTGGAGCCCAAGTGAGAAAATGGAAAATACAGTAAATGAGTCAGAGAAGGAAATGCTCATTTGAAGGGACAAAATGTTTGAAGATGGGTTGGCGGGGACCCCTGGGGTCTGAGAGTGCATTCGCTGTGTGACCTACAGGCAATACACCCCTAGTTCTGAGCCCTGATTTCCCCATTTGTAAAAACAGGGAAATCACCACTTCTAAGCAGTGTCCATTGAGTTTCCTGAAGAGGCTCTGCTCTTTCAATACTTGTGTTTCTAGCAAGAGTCTTGGAAGACGGGAATTACTAGTATTTTTACAGATGAAGAGATAAGCACACAGAGAGGGCAAGTAACTTGCCCTATGTCTCCAGCTTAGACGTGACCTGGCAGGCAACTCCAAACCCCACTGCTTTCTGCTACATCCTGAGGCCATGGGTGATGCTGGAAAGTGAAGGAGAATGAGGTTGAAGAGACTCGCAAGTGGAAGGGGGAGAGGGAAGAGCCTCTGAGGATTTGGGCTCAGTGGGTGAGGCAAGGCTGTGGGACCTCCCAGTGAAGGCACAGGTCGTGATAGGGTTGGGAAGATGGAAGACTATACATATGCCAAAGGAGCTTGGCCTCCCTGCTGTTGCTAGAGGGCCCATACTGCCTCCCCCACTGGGAAC